TTCTATTTCTTTTTCTAAAATAGAGATTTTTTTTCTTCTATTATATAGGAAGATATAGTATTCCTCTATTTTTTTACTATATATTTAGAGATCTCTTTTATAGAAAAATATATTGAAACAAAACATATCTCTATTCTAGAATTCCTCTATTATAGAGGTAAAAATAGCAAAATACATTGGAGATGGTCTAACATTCAGTAAATAAGATAGAGTATGTTGAAACATTTCAGTAAATAAGATAGACAATATATGTGGAAACATAGTGGATCATATACACATACAAACATACATATAGTTTTAATAATTTCAATAAAAAATTGATTTTTTTGTGTGGGCAATATGTGAGGAAGCGTAAAAAGGCTAGCAAGATGGACAAGCAAACAAAGAATATGACCTAGAATCATCCTCGTTTAACTCGGAAGCCTAGGAGCAGCAATGGCAGCATGGTTGAATATGAGGTCCAATGCAGAGGAAAGTCTCAGCCTTTCTCAAAATTAAGACTTAGCCTCATGCCCGAATTCAAGGAAACGGGACAAAGTGGTATAGAGAGTCTGATGAACAACATTCTTCAGCGGAAGATGTTTAATTGTGCAAATTGGTTCAGAGCAAGTTCACAAGCCCTCAATGACTGCTCCCTCAACCAAAGTTAAGCGAATCCACTGGTTTGTTTACATTTCTTTTATTTAGGACTCTTGTATTTTTTTTCTAGTTTTCGTTTCAGAAAAAAAATTCTTCTGGGCGAAATATGCAGCAATCGTTTGATTCCACTTTGTGGATCGATCGATCCATTTTTGAAACATCTGATCAGCTAATCCACACACCACTGATCGACCGAACTTGGTAGGTGATCACCCAATCTAAGTACCAGAGAATCGACAAATCGTGTGCCAAGAATGCCTTCCAGATTGAGGTGAATACAAATTATTCCCCACCAGTGTTGAACCTGAGGCAATGGAATGATTTGATGATTACACCACTGAGAGACACACGAATTCACACAGTCATTACCACTTTACCTGACACAACAGAGTATTTCCACAACTTCTTTTCTTTCTCTGATTCTTTTGCTTACTCACCCCCTCATTTGGATTTATTTTCACACTGAGATAGTGGGAAGTAAGCCTGGGGAAGGCTGCTGCTGATGAGTTTTGTGTTTTTTCTTTGTTTTGGTATTTTTGAGTCATTTTTTTTTTGTTTTTCTTTTAGTCAAGGTGTGTCGGGACTGCTACTTTTCTTTGGAATTATCCGTCTAGCTACCACATCATAATGACCATTCTTTTAGCCACTTACTTCAGATTTCACAACATATCTGCCAGTGACACCCACACTTTTTTGGGTATCTAAAGGATCCAAAGCTGATTTTACTTAATTTTTATAATTTTCTACTTTTGGGACTTGGGATATATTGGATTAGATTCCTCTTTCAGGATTGAAAGGACAAGTGTGTGTGAATATGGTTTTCTCTCTCTTCCCTTCAAATAATAAAATGTTTAAGGAATAAAGGTAACCATGCACTCAATGGTTAACTACGATAGTAATTGTGTCTCATGGAATCATGTTCAACAAATTCGGTCAATAGAAAATAATGATACCTTCCAAACTAGGGAAAATCGGCTCAGGGAAGTGAGAAAAAGGAATGAAAAAACCATAGTAAGATTTTCTGTGTGATTAGAAACTTGAATGGGTAAGAGTCCATTTGTCATATGATCGATACCTTGTTGATGAGAGGGCACTTTTAATTTAGGTCAGTAAAGGTGAATTTGGGTTAATGAGTTGTGGGTTGAAAGTGGTATGGTTGCCAAGCTAAATTTCATGTACATGGAAGTATCTTTGAAGGTTGGTACTCTTTGATGTGGCTTACAAAAAATAATGGTAAAACGGTGTTTAAAAGGATAAGTAAGTTCCAATGCTTTCAAACTTCAATTCCTTTTAGTTTTTTTTGTTTCCTTTACTTGAGGACTAGAAAAAAAAATTTCAAGTCTCGGGGACTTGATGAGTTTCATTTTCATTGTTTTTAACTGAGTTTTTGGTTGAGATTTATTGGGTTTTGCAAGGTATTTTGGTCTTCTTGGAATCTTTTCGCGTTCTAGGTTACAGGTTCATTTGTCAAGAAAGAACCCGATTACATAAGAACTCGATTACATTGGATCAAATGGAGCATGGGAAAGGATTTATCGAGCCATGACAAAGAGCGTCGATCATGAGTTCAGTATCAAAAAAAAATTCTAGATCGGTCAATCAAAAAATTCAATTGCAGTTAGTTGACATCTGACCAACTTATCCATGGAGGAGGGATCGACAAATCTATTTCATAGGGATCAATCGGTCCATGTCATAAGGATCGACCGATCCATGTCATAGGGATCGACCGATCCATGTCATAGGGATCGACCGATCCATGTCATAGGGATCGACTGAGCTTGTTGTTGGAGTTAAAATCGGTTACGACGATATAAACGACCAAAAGCTCCAGAGAAAAACCATACGGAGATGTGAAGTTACGAAAAAATCGTATCAAAGTATGAAAAACATAAAAAGGCTCCTTCACTCCTCAAATAAATGCTTACGAATTTAAAGATCGAACAATCGAAACACGAATAACTATAATAAGAAGTTGGATACACAACGTCCAACTCGCCACCGGGCAAGTTGGACCACACTGTACAACTCGCCACCGGACAAGTCTTTTGGCTCGATCACACTCCGAACTATAATCATACTGTCTCTCGTTTAATCTCGATCAAAGTTACCGTACGGCGGCATGTTAACAAATTGACCCACTACAGAAAAAAGACTTCATAAGTTTAGGGACTTGAGAACTGAACAAGAGACAGAGGGATTCAACCTTCTTCCGAAAAGGGATGCAGCTGTGTTGAAGAGACAATTATCTCGCTTAGAAACATATCTAGGCGGGATTAAATATATGACGGGATTGCCTGATATTGTAATCATCATCGATCAGCAAGAAGAATATAAGGTTCTTCGAGAATGTATAACTTTGGGAATTCTAACCATTTCTTTAATCGATACAAATTATAATCCCGATCTCGCTGATATTTCTATTCCAAAAAATGATGACGCTATAGCTTCAATGTTGGAACTTTACAACGAAAACCGCAAAGACTTGACTTCTCGTTTATGTTCAAATTGATCGTATAAAACAGCAACAGTTGACATAAAACCAAGGCTGCCTCAACTATATGAGTAATTTGAACTATTTTACAAAAAAAACAGCGTCGTCTCGAAGAAGATTTATTTAATAAAAACGTAAAAACTCTTCAAATCATAAAAAATGCCGGAAAGGTTCTGAAACACGATAGAAGCCTACTTTTAATTTTAGATGAAGTATTTCCTAAGAATATCATGACGGTTTAACTATTACTCGCAGTAGAGGATATATATCATGAAGATAGAGAAAAATGAAATATTTCCAGGAAGAGATAAACTCGAAACAATATCAGAAAAGGAAAGACGGTCGACCTTGGATGTATATATAAGGGGAGCCAAGGCAAGGAACACATGGACGATTCATTTAAACTTAAAACTCTCTGCACTTAGCAACCTTAAGCTTTATTCTTGATAAGTTTTATTTCTATGACTGGCACTCAATACTATACGAACTCAAACAGGTGGTTCGACCTCTTGTTTTACTTGAACCATGTTTTGCTTGATCTCCGAAAGGGGTAAGTAGGCAGCCTTTCATAGGGTTCATTCTGGAATCAATCAAAAAAAAGTTTCATCTTTTTTCGTCTTTTATTATCGAGCTGCGACTCAACTAGACTTAAGGTTTTAGGTTGTTACAAATAGGTAATTCGTTGACAGCTCTTGCATCCGAATCTTTTATAATCTTTTGTAATGATCACAACGCTCTTACGCAGATTCTAAATAAGATCTACTTTCTCTATAAATTCATTTTTTACCTTTTCATATGTTCTGCATTTATTTGGGCACTTGTCGTTGGCTTTTGCAGAGATTCGGGACCTCTGGAAAAATGGAATTTTCCTAACTTTCCTTATTTTACAGAAAATCGACAGTGTGAATTTCGGTTTCCACACTTGCCATGACGAGACCAACTTTCCTATTTACCATGTGTCACGTTTGAAGACAATTTTACCTAATAAATTGATCAGGGACTTGTTTTTATTTTTAATCTTGCAGAGAAACTAGTCAGAGAGTTTGAAAGAGTATTTTGGGAATTTGTAAACCTGTGTAAGAATTTTCTTTCTATACTCTACTGGAGAAGATTTTTTATCCTTCTCCTTTATTTTAATACATTCATACGAAGTTCTCTCTAGAATTAATATGTATTTGTTATTTGAATATGAGCATGTAGTTCAGTTGTCGGGTTTAAAGTTTTTTTCATAGGGGATTTCTTGATATATTAACGTAGAACTGTTTAGAGTCGTAGGAATTATCGTTTGGTTCTTTATTTACCGTTTTTCTTAAGGCTGATATTTCTCTGGCCGCTTAGCCTCTGATTTTAGGATATTTGATGCATTGAAAAGGCGTTTTGGGTTGCTTGTCAGAAAGCAAATACTGTGGGGTTAAAGAGTTTCACTAAGAGCTTCTTGGGTTGTGTATAGACCATTAGACGTGAGATGCTAGATCAATAAGTCAAAGTGTGTCTTGAAGTTATTTATAAGTATATTGTTTTAGAAAAACTTGTAATATATCTTCTTTAGAAAGAATTTCTTGTGTTATTCTGTGGTATGGTTCCTCTCGTAGTTAATTCTCGTACTTTCATTGTACATATACATACAAACATACATACAATTTTATTACTTTTTCAGTTAAACAGTTGTTTATGATCAGTAAAACTGGGCATCACAGATTACGTACTGAAAATAAAACATAGAAATATATGACTTATAGATGACAAATTAAACATCTATATTTTTATTGAACATAGAATATGTATGTTCAAAATGATCTTATGATCCAAGATGTGTTCAATACTAACAGAAGATATCTAAGAACAAAAATTCAAATGTTAGCGGAAATGGAATGAGGAACACAAACACAAAACAATTTTATCATATATCACAAGGTGCACACAACAAGAGCTCACACTTGGGTAGCAAGCAGTGGTAAGCTTTGTGCTTTACGTTTTATTTGGAAGCAAAAGAAACTTGAACATACACACACACTTGCCATGTCCTCAAACGGAATGAAAACAACAGTTATACTTGAGATTTTATTACAGGAGTACTTCAAACCTCATACGTGTTTGTAGCAATGGCAGTGATTGTCACTTCCCTCAACAACCGCCCAACAGACTAGAGGGCTACCGTATGTCTGCATGCAACATTTACAGCATTCACAATCACCACCTACGAATGGCTCAGCCCCACACTCCTGGTAGAAAACACGGTCAGCTGCGTTAGGGCATTGAGTAGCACCCTTATTGTAGCATGCCGGACTGGCCTCGCTTTTGATGATACCTACATGTTGGAATAATCGTCAAAATCACCGCACAAAGTTTATGAAAAGATAAACTGCAAAATATAATAGAGATTAATTTCTTTAAATTAATACCGGTTGAAGCCATCACGAGAACAATCAAGAAAACGGTGAAGCTGACAGAGTTGAAGGTCTTTGCCATTACTTTTTTCTTTTTCCTCTCTCGTTTTATAAACTCTTTTGAGTAAACTAGTTAAGACTTTGATGATACATGCAAATCCATAGGTATGGGGATCTATTTATACTAAAAGTTATGTAACTTTGTTATTCTTGCTGAATCCCTCCTCTTTTCTCTGAGATTTTCCAAAGGTCATAATGTCGCCACATGTTTGCATTCCCATCTCTCTCACTACATCCTGTTTTAAAAGTATATCTATTTTTTAAACACGCAATTTGTCTTATATTATCAAAAAAAGGGAAGTCGTCGCTGTGTTTGTCGTTATAACTAATTATATATATTAATTTTTACTCTAGTGTACCATAAAACTATTGTTTGGAAAAATACTAAATTTTATTGTTATGGAAAGAGAAGCACGGATATGGTGAGGTTTGACTAGGTGACTAGGTGACTCATCCGCACCTTGTGCGGAAATAAAAATCGGCAAAATTAGCGTTGACATGCTTTGATCACATGTAGTGCACAAAAACAAAGGTTGAATATCAACATCAACATTGTTTGTAGACATTACTTTTTGTGGTAGTATTGATAGTTCAATCTATATTCAGTATTGATACATTGATAGTCATAATGGTAATGGAAGTCCCAACCAATTCTTAAATGACTATATGTCAAAAATCTTCATCGGAAAGTTAGCAAAGAGAATCTTATCATGTTGCAATGAAAAATTTAGTTCATATACTTCAGTAATATTAATGACATCTCTATTGATTAACTACTTCTTAAGAACAAAAGATCCATAAAAAGATGATGTAGTAGTTAGGGTGTTCAAGCTGGATTTGGTTCGGTTTCGGTTTGGTTTTTCGATTTTTCAGTATTTTGGTTTATAAAACAAACTACCATATTAAAACCATATAGATTTTGTTTGGGTTCGGTATATATACCGTTGGTTTTTGGTTCTTTCAGTTTTACACCAAAAACCATAAATATATTTATCTTTTATAATATTTTGTGAATTTTACTTAATATGATTAAATACCAACTTTAATAAAACAGAAAAATATTTCACTTTTGAAATAGACTATTTTCTTTATTTAAATACTTTAAAATTAATAAACATATTACGTTAATAATAATAACAATTTTCAGAAATAAAATAGGAAAAATAGTAATAATATCATTATATTATTAAATAACTAAATATTAGCACACATATTTGTCAACAAAAAAAAGTAAAACTTGTTTTGTATAATCTGATAAAAATGAAAAAGATAACTTTTAACTTAAAACAATATTAAATTACTAAATGAACTTTTAAGTATCATATCAATAACTTTATGACCATGCATGATCGTTGTCTAGATATTCTTCATATTATTTATCAGATTTGATTCAACTGAAGCATGAATTCTTGTCACATGTTTGAACATTAAAAGGTTTATGTGGATCAGTTAAAAAAATTAAATAAAGTACCATGCAAATATTTAGTAGAATTAGTAGCTATGGAAAACATTACAATTCAAAATATATTTAAGGAAAAAATCAAATCTTTGTAAAAATGTCTTTGCCATTTAAAATTTGGATAAATAATAAGAACTATCTACTCCCTTAAGGAAATCATTTTAATGATTTTTTTCTGGTTTCTTTGTTAAAATCCACAAGTGAATGATATTAACTTCGATACGCCATGTTTCTTTAAATGATTTTTAAGTCTTTAGCATAAGAGAAAAAACACATTTTTTTGTATATCTAACCATTGCCATTATTATTTTTAATTGATATAGCAAAAAAGAGATATATTTGTATTATAAAATGATGGTGACCAGAATTATACACTTAGAATTTTGATGTTCTCTTTTTTTTTTGACATCAAAATATTATTCAATACTCAAACTTCAGATGGTCGAAGAATTCAGACTGGAATAGAACAACCAATAAAAACTATTTTTTTATTAAAAGCTCAAATAGTCTTGGACAATCTATCTGCTATCCGGTTATGGAGCCACTAAAGTGACTTCTCATTTAATATATAGTGGGATGAGAATATGATATTTTAAATATAAAAAATACTCTAATCATTTATAAAAATGATAACTCAACTATAATATCACATTGTCAATTACAATGATTGAAATTTTAAAAAATTATAATTTGAATGTCTTGTATTCATTTGACATATTTTTATAATATATATGTATATAGTGAGTAGAAATATTATAAATATAATATTTTTAAAACCGTTTATAGAATTGTTTATGTAGTATTATATGTATTTATATTTGTATTATAAATTTATATAACGTAACCTATGTTAATTAATTGTTTAAACAAAAAAATTTATGTTAATTCATTTAAATTTAAGATGTTATGTTGTTTATTTGGTAATATATATTATATTAGGTAACTTTATGATTAGTTTCCGTTTAGAAATTTGATTTAAATAAATGAAAATTCAAATAACAACAACCAATAAAATTAAGAGAATTAATTCTAAACTTCATATATGAGTGACACCAAAGCCAAAATCACTAAAGTGACTTCTCATTTAATATATAGTGGGATATTTAGGGTTTCAGCGGTATTGCAGCTGTCATGGCGACACTATTTTGGTTTCGCTTTAAGTAGATTTTTTTTTTTAATTTTCTTATGACATGTGGAAAGGGGATTTACAAACACATACCCCCATATTTTCTTTCTTTTTAGATTTTAGATACTTTTTTAGACTGTTGCAATATGGCTTACAATTTTTAATTATGTACTATCTAATACTTTTCACATTAATCATCATCATCATATAAAGTTTGCTATTTATTTTATTGGTTACTCCAGTAAAATTCAAGATAAATAAAGAAATAAATAAAATAATATAAATATATTTTAAATCTTTAATTTATTCACAGCTGAAAACAATATAAGTTTTTTACTATTTTATTATTTCAACATGAGATTTTTTTTACCAACTATTGATTTTATTAAAACCATGCCCAATGGCCCAAGATACAAGGTGTCATGACGTTTTACATTTCATCAAGATAAACAGGCCGGATTCTATCATAACTAGTTCCTGCCAAGAAAAAAAGTGCAGCAAGTTTATAATGCTACGGCAGGAGGGATAATAAGCAAAATTTTACGAAAAGAAAAAGGGAAATAACCATAGTGGATGCATCGCATTTCGGGGTGAACCAGCTAGCTCTGGGTTCGAGTGGCATTTCACGCCTAACCACAACTCATCCGCTGATTTTTCAACATCAGTCGGTTCGGACCTCCACTTAGTTTCACTCTTTTGATTCAAAGAATTTTAAAATTTTACGAAAAATTCCTTTTCTATGGTAAAATTACTTGAAAGGGATTTTTTCAATATAAAAATAAAAAGACTTACGAAGTTGTTCCAACTTACTGATTCGCACTAACCCTAGATCCTTACTCCTGCGAAAGGAATAAAAAATGTGTATTCTCCTCGAGCTCCATCGTGTACTCTTTTTTTATATTCAAAAAGGTGTAGGACTCTAGTAAAATAGAACACAAAATGTTGAGAAAATAAAAACCCAACAAGAATTTATATTATAGCCCATATTTTTAAAGGAGATCGAGAATTTTCAGATCCCCGCGTCCATTCTTAGTATGCAGGTTGAGAGGTTACTTTGACACGACATGCAATTATCAATTGTCGCGCCACCGCCTTGTAGTTTCACCGCCGGAAAACTCCATGTGCCATTTCTCGAATCCCTTTCTTCATTGTGCATCTCCAGAATTAGAGCAAAGCAAATATGGCAATAACAGCCTTTACTCTACTAAATCACCGTGAACCCGCAGATATTTTAGATGTAATTCTCTCTATCATATAACATGTTTAAAGCATAGATTCCACCACACCTTTCGTTCGAACCCTGAATACTTGATCGAAGAGGCCATGGTTAACCGTTGAATAAACCAGAGGAAACTTCAATCAATTGAAGAGAGATATTTTGTTGCACCGTTAAGCAGCAATGGCAACATGGTTAAATACGAGGTCCAATGCAGAGGAAAGTCTCAGCCTTTCTCAAAATTCAGACATATCCTCATGCCCGAATTCAAAGAAAAGGGTCAAAGTGGTATAAAGAGTCTGATGAACAACATTTTTACATTCTTCAGCGGAAGATGTTTAATTGTGGAAATTGGTTCAGAGCAAGTTCACAAGCCCTCAATGACTGCTTCCTCGACCAAAGTTAAGGTTATCCACTGGTTTTTTTTCTTTTCTTTTATTTAGGATTCTTGTATTTTTTGCTTCTCGTTCTCTAGTTTCAGGAAAAAATTCTTCTAGGCGAAATATGCAGCAATCAGTTGGTTCCACTTTTTGTGGATCGATCGATCCATTTTTGAAACACTTGATCAGCTAATCCACACACCACTGATCGACCGAACCTGGTAGGTGATCACCCAATCTAAATACCAGAGAATCGACCAATCGTGTGCCCAGAATGGCTTCTAGATTGAGGTGAATACAAATTATTCCCACCAGTGTTGAACCTGAGGCGATAGAGTGATGTGATGATTAAACCGCTGAGAGACACACAAATTCACACAGTCATTACCACTCCACCTGATACAACAGAGTATTACCCCAATTTCTTCTTTTCTTTCTCTGTTTCTTTTGCTTACTCACCCCCTCATTTAGATTTATTTTCACACTGAGATAGTGGGAAGTAAGTCTGGGGAAGGCTGCTACTGATGAGATTTAACTTTTTTCTTAGTTTTGGTATTTTTGAGTCATTTTTTTTGTTTTTTTAAGTCAAGGTGTGTCGGGGACTACTATTTTTATTTTGAATTATCCGTCTAGATAACACATCGTAGTGACCATTCTTTTAGCCACTTACTTCAGATTTCACAACATATCTGCCAGTGACACCCGCACTTTTTTGGGTATTTGAAGGATCCAAAGCTGATTTTACTTAATTTACATAATTTTATAATTTTGGGGCTTGAGATACATTGGATTTGATTCCTCTTTCAGGACTGAAAAGACTAGTGTGTGTGAGTATGGTTTTCTCTCTCTTCCCTTCAATTAATAAAATAAATAAGTAATAAAGGTAACCATGCACTTAATGGTTAACTACAATAGTAACTGTGTCTCATGGAATCATGTTCAATAAACTCGGTTAATAGAAAATA